CGGATTGAGCCATTACGTGCCGCGAGTCGATTTGCTCCTCGCATGAGGCAGTTCGCGGCACGTAATCGACTCCGGTTCCGCGAGAGGACTCGAATTATCAATCAGGAGTCGCTGGTCCTTGGGGAAGATGTGTCGGTCCACAGGACTCCGACCTGCACCCGTTTCCATGGGCCTTCGATGGTCCTCCACTCGCTTTAGTTATTTATTCGACCCATCGGGATGACGCATGGTGGTATAAGGTGACACGTCAACGGACGTGGCTCCTCATTAATTTTCATACACGGAGGTCGGATCCTGCTGGATTTCCTCGAGGTCGGTGTAGGAGATAATTTCGGGGTCGCGGGTATCCTGGGTACCATCTCGAAGTGGGGCCTTCGGACCAGGGCGCATAATTTCCAGGACCTCCAATGGGTGCTACCCTTGTTATGGCGTAATCGATGGCTGCTGGTCAGGCACTTCCGACTGCCTGGATCTCGGAGACCTGGTTTACTCAATCATCATTAAAAGACGAGGAATATCCCCCAGAGGCGGGGTACTCGACGTAAAAAATTCCTACGCTTAGTTTGTACAGCGTGATAGTGAACGGACTATGGAATTGTCATTCGGCACTGGTTTTTAATGTCTAAGGGAATTCATTGAGGCAGCCTGAGTATTTTATTTCTCTCTCGACCTGGGCTTTTACTTTTAATGAAAAATCGAGGGGGATTAGGCTCGGATGGTACCTAGGGGATGAATCATATGGGATGGACGCATAATTCCTGGTCCCGACCGGTCCAGGAATGTTGGGCGACGCCGGGCCTCGTCTTCGTCTTTCTCGAATCATTTGTAAAGATTTCGGGATAAAGAGCGATATCGTTGTTATGGATCTCGCGGTTGACCCTTGAGACTCGACCGACAGACAGAAGCGCGAGCCTGTCAAGTCTGCGATCCTAATCTGACAGCGACGTATTGGACGGTCTTGCTCGGAGGGGAACCTCGTAATCGGACTTGCCCCCTCGTGTGATTATTAGTCACCGACCATAAGCCATTTCCATACATTTCGATACGTTTCCGACCTGGCTGGAAACTCGGACCGGGTCGTTGACTGCCCTCGTGGACCGAAATTTCATCGACATTCACCAACACCGAAACTACCGAAGACTCCTAAAAAAATCGAGATTCGATGATTACGTGGCCATTGCCGGAAATCATTTTTTTTTTTACGAGATTACATGTTTCAAGGGACAATTCAAATTTTTTTCTACGTCACATATTTTAAGAGACGACTCATGACAATTATATAAAATTGATGCCACTTTCGCAATCACGCAAAATCTTATCCTTAAATTCTTATTAAAATTGTCAAGGTGGAAAATTGTCGGAAAATGTATTTCTTAGCGTTTTATCCTGATTTGAGGGGGATCCAGAATGGAAATGGACCTGGAAAAGGTACCTGGAGGAAGTTGACAGATTTTTTCTCTTCGCGCAGTAATGAGGCTGGCTCGCTCTTCTCCACCCGGTTAAGGTAACCGTATCTGATCGGCTCTTAAAAGCGCTATTTATTTTTTCGAGCCTTTGCCAAACGGAAGCCCACGAATCTGAAAACGACTTCTCGTTCGTTATTCTTCCCCGGACACGTTGTCTTAATGATCGACTATTACTTACCCTATCTCGTCGACGGAAAGTCCTGATTCTTTGAGATAGATCTTTCGCAGACCGACATGACGTCTAGAATTCCTTCGTGGATGCTTTGAGGAAAATTTTCAACAGTTTTGACCATTTGCCGATCTCGCTGTCAAGTTACACATTTTTCTAAGACATTCCGGAGGATTTTTTATCAACGCTCAGATATCGTATACAGGGGGAAATTGATTTTCTCGCGTTGCAAATCGAAGGACGACAATTTTCCTGCCGGCGGAGGAATTATTCCTAATCAAGGGACAATTTTCTATGAGGAAATGATTTTTGCGAAAATCATTTTGGTAACTCTTTTTTCCGGTTCGCCAGGATTTCCCACGAGGTCCAGGTTGTGTCCCCTCGGTACGCCGGTGGCGGAAGAATTATTGCACCCCCGCAACAGGCGGAAGGCTTGTAGAGTAATATGGAGTAGCATAATATATCGGGCTCCTACGGTGAGTTGAAAGGTCAAGCGAAACGCGAGTTACGAGCTGACCCGAGTAGCCGTATAAAAGGGGAACGTAGGCGCGGCCGATGTGGTACAACAATAATTTTAATAACTTCCGGTTAATATATACTTATCGTGACAAGGGACGAGCTACGATCTCCAGAGTCCTTCGAGAGTGCTCGTGAAAATCCCGAGACTCACTTCCGTGTTAGAAAGTCCCGGGACTTGAACTTCTTAACAATGATAAATTATCAGCCATTGTTATTTTTACGGGATTTTTTACATAAGTCATATCGACAGCATGGTACTTTCCCTGGAATTTTAGACCTCGAAAAAAATGTCGGGTACTTAAGAATTACAATTTTTGGCATTTCATTAATTTCAAGGGAATAATAATGGTCACCTTAAGAATTAGAGTTCTCTAGCGTTTCATTTATTTCAAGGGAAGTAATAACATTTAAATGCCTGGAGAAAGCACTGAGTAATTCGAGATTTTGGGTACCATGTTGCAAGACTCTGAGGCAATGTCTAGGAGTTGAAAGGTCAAGCGAAACGCGAGTTGACCGTAGGAAAGGAGGGCGTAGGCGTGGTCGGGTTCGTATCAGCCATGGCCACCTTTTCCCTGTAAATCAATTGATATCTCGCAGGAGGGGCTTATCAGAGGTAGGGGCGAGCCCAGGGCTTCGGAAAGCATGCGCCAAATGCTGAAATCCGGATCGACCCGCCCTGGAGGTTTTATTTCCCCTCCACCATTTCGAAGCTCACTCCTTGCAACAGACTTTCACCTTGTTTCTCAAATTCCGCGAAAAAACGTTCACTCGTTTCATACTCCCCTCTTTAAATACAATTAACCCACCCGAGTCGAAATTTCGGTCCCACAAACTAATAACTTCTCATTGTGCCCCATAAGGTGATATGAAAGTGGCACCAACAAAATCTCGTTAACGAGACTTTTCTCCTTAACGAACCTGGTGAACAAACTTCAGCACTCTGGAGACTGTAAGGAAGGTCCTGAAACTCATGAAATTTCCATTCTTTTTTTTTTTAAATTTCTTTATAGACATTTTAGACATTTTTCATGACAATGGAATCTCATGGGGTGCAAAATAAATATTTTCAATGAGGGAAATCCCTCCCCAGTATTAAGGAGAAATCCTCGTTTAGCCAAAACCAGGACTTTGTTTTATATTTTTTTATTATAATTACCCAGCGTAGGTAAATCGATTTAATATTCCAAATTCATGGCCTCGCATAAATCGGCAATGTATTCCGATGAACTTGAAGTTCTCGGAGAATTTGTTAATCCCAAGTAATGGAACTTTTTGTTTCGCCTTACCATATCGTCCCCGAAGAGGGTTATGGGGAAGTCGAAAAGCAGCGGGGGGTCGAAAGGAGTCGTGACAAGGAACATGCACAAGGTTCAAGTAAAGTCGACGAGCTTGGATATCGATAATATTTAATCGGTTTTTAAATAATCTTACACGTACGGGTCCTCGGGTCGAGGTGTGGGGGGCACGTGTAATCGCGTACTTCGTGTCGGTGTCGTAAATAAATAGCTAAGTTACCTTTAAACAGTCTATCATAGGCAATGTTAACGAGCCACGGGGTGGGCGGGAAAGGGGGAGGATAATGTATATGTACAGTAGTACACGCATTCGTCCCGCGTCCCCCGTTTCGTCCTCTTTTCTATATTANAAGGTTCTTTATTGCACATCGCAATCACGCCTCTCTCGCACTCGGGTATATCTTACATTTTTTACAATAAATTAGAACGCTATCCTTTAGGGTGGACTATACTCTCTTCGGTAAAGGACGAAAACGCAGGCGAGCCGGGTTTCTTTACGGGAACCGACGCGAGCTTGAAATGGCACTTTTCGCCCCCTTTTCGGTTTTTTATCTCGACATGTCGCGATTGAATACTGGTGAAGGAAAGAGGAACGCCTCCTTTTGGATCCTTTTCGTGATATTTTTTTTTTCTTTTTTTTGCATTTTCTGTCAGGAAAAGTCATCCGGATTGGGACACCAGTCGCTGAGGTCTAGGACAAAGAGCCTGTTAATGAGTGGCACGGATTTTTATTTTTTTTACGGATAGGAGGTTAGGAGAGTCCCGTGGAAAGGACATCGCAGGGACGCGGTGGAACTCTACGCGCGAATAAGTATTTGGCGTGAACCTCGACCGAGTTTCTTTGTTTGAACGGCGTACCGTAACTCGGGGCGCAGGTATTAGTCATCCATTTCGTGTACAGAAAGTGGATCCCAGGAAGTGCGGAAGTCGTCCTTTGAATTCTCGTCCCCGTTTCCTGGACGTCCACTTCGGACGTCCTCTTCAGGAAGTGTAAGGACGACTCGGTGCCGAAGATGAGCTCGCATTTTGACGGGACTTCCTGTCACTTGGCTCGATCTGTCGACGAAACGTTAAATGTCTGCGGGTCAGGAGTTGCCGGAAATGTCCTTGGAGTCCTCCAGGAAGAGCCACTCCTGCATCCTCCTCCAGGAAAAAAGGCATCCACTTCCTAGAGCAGGGCATTTCTACAAACTCCGAGGATTTTAGGGAATATCCCTAGATCTTGCCTGCGGAGGACAACCCCTGAAGCATCCTTCGGTCCTCGTCCAGGACATCTCTGCCGATGGACAACGTTCCTCCACCATCTCATCCCACGATCTCGCAGTCTCCGGTAATTTGGCTGGATGTTCCTTTACTCAGGTACATCCTGAGGGGAATCCGGGATCCTTGGTGGGTTCCTTCGAGCTCTTTCCCGGGGATCTTCATCCCGAGGACCAGTTCTGGCAGAGTCGGCTGGTATAGCGACTTCAGTCCTAAGTCGACATTTGGCTTGAGTTCCTTCCCGAGGATCTTCTTCCTGAGGACTCTCAGCTCAGGGCAGAATCGGCTGGTTTCTTGACTTCGGTCCAGGGAGCCTACAGTCGTCATTTGGCTTGAAGCTCGGCAGCTTGCTCTTCTTCTTCCTTGGTGAGAGGAACGGTGGAGTGGTTGTAGAGTCCTTGCGCCATGAGCTGAAGAGCCAGGGGGTTCTTCTGGCCGCTGGCCTTTTTGATCTTGGCTCTCTTGTTCTGGAACCAGATCTTTATCTGGGCCTCGTTTAGCCCCAGGTCCTTGGACAACTGTTGACGTCTCCTCTCCGTCAGGTATCGGTTTTCGGCGAACTCTCTCTTCAACCTGGCGAGCTGCTCGCCACTGAACGCCGTCCTGGGCCTCTTCTCCTCGGGGGTGGCTCCGGATCCTCGGCCATCCCCGGATCTTTTCACCCTCCTAGTCCTGGGACCTGAAAGCACGCGGCAAGATTCTAGGATTAACTCGTATCTGCCGAAATTGACGGAGATCCGGAACCCTCAGGGTAGGTCCTGCCTCGAGACCGACGAGGAGACTTTAAGGCGGCGTGAAAGCGTCGTCCAAGGTATCGATTCATCTAAAAAGTAACTCTTTTTTTTTTCTTCCGGAACCCATTCACCGAATCTAGTCAAAATTCACCACGTGCGTTCTTCTCCCCAGGTCGATTAAATTTCTCGACGCGTTTCGCATCGCCTTAAGTGCTCCATTTCTTTTTACTATTCCTACGTCATGTTCGACTCTTACTTCTTGCGGCTTAAGGGAGCGGAGGAACTCCTAGTCCCCATTTGGGGGAGAAATACCACCCCGACGTATATCCGCAAATAATCGGCATCGATTTCATCGATAAGGTACTCATAAGCCCTGACACCCCCGCGGGTATTTTTTTCCCGTAACCCTGAAGAGCCGCTGCGGAATCGCCGCTTTCTTACGGTCACCGCTTAGACCGGGTCTCTCGCTTAATCGTAAATCAAACGCATTATTATTGCCACGGTGCGTAGGTACGTACAGGTACTTGTGCATAGGTACATAGGTACAGAGAGGGCCCCTCTTCCCCTAGCATTTATTCCCCGGTATGTGCGTGCAATCCGCGGCTTCCTCCCCGCGCTTCGAGCTCCGCACTCGGAAACCTCGGTGCAGTTCATATCCACTAATAATTCACGACGTAAACACCGTGCCTCGTCGTGCCTCGCCGTTTACACGCGGTCTCGCGGCCGTAATTGCGAATAAATCAAATCATAACGATCAACACCGAGGCCCTATCACTGCGAGCCGATCTTCCGCTCCCATCCTCGAGATCGACGAGGAAACCTGGACCGGTCGGCGGAAATCCAGAGGTCGTCCTCCTAAAAGAAACTTCCGATTTGACGGAAATGAACGTTACTTTTTTTTTTTCACATTTTTTTCTCTGGGTTCATTTAGGTGATTTAATGAATAGAAACATTAATGGCGAGACGACCGGGAAATTTTTCACCGCGATGCCCAGAGCTCGGTTAATTGGGCCGGGATATTTAATTAAAAGTAGAACGTGCAAAGTAGATTCGCGGAATCGATTGACATTGTAAGGTTAAAACAAGTGTGCATTTGAAGCATGACAGGGTTAATATGAAATGCAGAATGGACTTTTTAATGTTTTGCTTTCGCAATGTGTTGACTGCTTCGGGAGTTAATTCAGTTGATGGAAGAGGTCAGCTTTCTGATTGCTTCTTTTTCCTCCTTTTCGTTTCTAATATTCCCATTTCCATGCATCGATATGCATAAACATATATGTAGAGTTAGATGCGCGTTTAGATGCTTGTTTTATGTGAATTCTATTGAAATAGTTACCCAGTGATGGCGAGGGAGATACGAGAGGAGAGGGTCTAGCGCGACTGAGTTCCGCGCCAAGCGCGCAATACTGCCCGGGGGTTCTTTACGACGCGCTACCACTTCTCTCCACACGTTTACCGAGATATCTCGGAAATGAATAAAGATACTCCCGATCCGATTGCTCAGGTGCGTCGGCCATGTTCGAGGGAGGGTTACTGGGTGGAAAAAAGCCGGGAGATTCCGAGGGGAGGCTGCCGTCGGTCTAATTACTTAAGTCAAGTCCCGGGCAGAGGGGAAACCAATAACCCCGTGACGTCTCCTCGCTCATGGTGGGGCCACCCCTCAAGTACCAAACCCGGGAGGCATCCGACGTCGACGTGTGGCCTTCTGCGAACCCACTAATTCCCAGACAGCTTGAGTTAGACGTTAACGCTCTGCGCTTAGCGCCTTACGCGTAACGAATCACCCCGTCCCATCTAATTCCTTAAGGGATGACTTTGACGCGTGCTTCGGTATGCGTGCGATGCCGCTTCATTACGTTACCCTGACGGGGAAGTTCGAACTTCGCGCCCCCAGAGGGTGGGTGCCATCGAGGGTACGGAATCGAGGTTAGAACCGCTCTTCGAGAGGAAAATCCACTCGCCTTCGATACTACCTGGTGGTCCTCTTCGCGAGGCCTAAAAGTGAGGTTAGGAACCTTTTGCAACCTGGCGTGCCTGCCCTTCAAAGCGTTATGCGGCAGTGTACAATGGAGATATAGGGGTGCATCCTGGTGTGAGGTTCCAAATTGAGGTTAGAATCGCGTCTTTAAGATGCAAAGGGTGGTCACCCTCGCCAATGTCCGGCGTTCGATTACCCTGGGAGAATGGGGAAAATGCGGAATTGAGGTTAGGATCCTCTCGGAAGGGAAGTTTACTCGTCCTCGGCAATGTCGCGCGGCCATTTCCGCATGAAATGGGGGGAAGAGAAGCAACGAGGGTCTCCGTGGCGCAAAGTAAGTTGAGTCGTGACTCTAGTCGGTGAGTTATGACTGCAGCCGTTCCCTCTGGACAAACGAGGTTAAGCGTGTCGACACGGACCGAGCGGCCTCCTCGAGTCGCTGCGCCGTCTCCGGAGTTACAGCGGCCCTTTCCTGCCCCGATCGATCACCGATCGATCGCCGATTCCTCGACCCACATGCACCGATAAGGGAAAGCCAAGCCGAAATCGGGAAAGGGGAACGAAAAAGTCCGAGACGCACCTCCTAACCTCACTTCGGTCCCGCGATCCCGCGAGACGATCCTCCGACGTTCTAAGTAAATTATTAAAAAAATTATGTTAAAATTTGAAAAGTTGGTATATCACTTGTAAGGATTAACAGTTAAAAAATTCTGTTAAAAAATCCAAATTTTGAATCGGTCAGGACAATTCTTAGATGATCGGAAGTGATGTGTCAGTTTGGTCTAATACCCTTTAAAAAAAGTGTTGTATTCGAATCGACTGATTTGAAGGGGATTTAACTTCAACTTAAAGACTTTTATATGAATCTCAGGGTTATGCAAAAATTAGAGATGCTATATGGAACTCGGAGGAAATTCCTGATGATGGAAAAATCGGGGGAGGCCGCACGTAGGTAGCGGGTAATTGTTTATAATTCCCGTAATCGGAGTCTAATGTCTCATGCATAACCAGCAGGTGTCCTTTGGGTTGACGAGTGGCTATCTAGGGATCGACTTAGAGATTAGCAGCTATTCCGCGAGTCGGCCATCTCCGGATCGGGATGATCCATGGATGATCCAGCTCCCTCCTCGCCCCCCAGGAGGATCGTCCGATCCCTCGGATACCTCGAAATCGTTAGGGGAATCTCGTTAGCGTTATCCATGCACGTCGAAAGAGGAACTTCTCGATTGCCGATCCCATTGGAGAGCTCTCGGGAATGTCCTCGTCCTCGTTATAAAGGATCCTAGGCGCCACAATGGCGCCGGTGCGGAAATCGAGGTAGGACGAGCATCCCCGTCTGTTACTTACTTCGCCCTGGGAACAGAAAAAATGACACAGGGCCAATTAAAATCACTTAATAATGCCCTACTAAATTTAAGTTAACTTATACGAACGTTCCTCGGAGGGGAGTCACAGGAAAGGGGAATCAATGGGAATTTCAGAGATCAATGGAAAATTCAGTAAACCCGACTTCCTGATTATTCCACGGATTTTCCTCACCTTTGTCGACTCATTGTCGTCCCTCGGATATTTCTGGAGATGGAGAGGAATATATTCTTAAATTATCGTGGCAAGGGAATTCATTTAAATAGTCGAAACTTGTCATGGACCGCGGTTTTTTGGAAATCCTGCCGCAGGGTGGGAATGTCCTCTGACTTTCCTCCCCTTCTGCCGCATGGTTAATGTGTCTTTAGGAGGAGAGCAGAATCAATTTGAACGAATGGGCTCGTAGGCCGAAAACCCGACTAATGGCTTTATTGCCTCGGACTCATAATGATCCGGTTCTTCCGGCGATGGAAGAACGTCGCCCCTTCTACTCCTTCTTCATCTACGTCCTCCGCTTCTTCGGCTCTCCTTTCTCGTCCCAGGAAGAATAGAAATCCCGAAGAAGAAGTAAAATCTCCCCGAAAGGCATAAAGATGCACCCCCTACCAAGAAATGTCATTACGATTCGATGTAACTGTTTAACAGTACATTGTTATCGGTGCGGTCATTCCTACGGTATGAGGGAAACGTGATTAACAATGCCTTTGATAAATGTGCAAATGTGGACGTTGATTCGTTAAAAATTCCACTTTGTCTACATATGTAGGAATATGATGGGAATCACTTAGAGGAGGTAACGTTAAGGCGGTTCCCATGGTCTTATCATGTAGCCTATCGCGCGGCTTATCGACGCGAGTGGAGGACCGTCGGGGAGATACTTTTTGCGTATAAAAGTGCGAGCTGTTTGCGGAGTCATTTTATATTTACGAGCCGTTTTCCCGGTTTAACGCCTGTACCTTATTGCGCGACTACTATAATTAGTCGATTAGGGGAATCGATATCGGCGGACCAGTTCCCACGATCGCGTAAACGTCGTAGACGGCGACATTGCGAATTTAATGAGCATGTCGCGGGCAAGGCAAATGTAGATTAGAGTTAATCGGATCTGGTGCTAACGCACGATCGAAAGCGACCACGTATGTCCGTCTAGATCAGGATCGATCGCCATCTGCGGACGCATATCGAGGGCCCGACTCGAGGCGAATCATAATTGGCTAAAATCACGGAGGAGCCGTACCCGATTATCAAAATTAATTCAATTTGTTGCTCGAGCTCGCCCTTTGAGCAATTTTGTAAGAGCTGGGGGGAAATTTGACACACGTTGGACACAAGGAGGATTTAAAACCGGGAGTTTTCATTCTTAACGAAGAATCCAAGAGCCTGGAAAATTGATTTCTTGGGAGTTGATGATAAGACAATCGTTGGAAAATTGATTTCTTGGGAGTTGACGATAAAACAAACGTTGGAAAATTGATTTCTTGGGAGTTGACGATTAAACAATCGTTGGGAAAATTGATTTCTTGGGAGTTGACGATAAAACAATCGTTGGGAAAATTGATCGTTAAATCTTTACCAATTTGTTGCTTCTGCCTACGTAACATTGAGAAAAGTATTGTGTAAGAAAGAAAAGTGATTTATCCACACGACTGGTAAGGGATTAAAATTTATGGTCACGGATTTAAAATCGGGAGTTTTCATTCTTAACGAAGAATCCAAATGGCTGGAAAATTGATTTTCAAGAAATCTTTATCAATTTGTTGGCGGAACGCGGAACAGGTGGAGGACGAAAGGGGGGCTTAGATTTCATTTTCTCCCGGGCTAAATCCGGCCGAAGCTTTCGGGGATTGCCAAAATGTCCCGGAAGTGACATTTCGGAGGAAGACGGACGGATTTCCCTCCGACTCGTCTACCGTCCCGGGGATCGCGCGATGGACGTCGCGTTAGCTGGTGGACGTCGCGTCACGCGTGCCCTCTTGTCGCCGGTTTGCCGGCAACATGTGGCAGGGAAGCTAAAGTCACTCGCAGGAGGACGAGCGACCGAGACGAGGAGGGAAAGAACCCGGGCTGGGTGGTTGAAATTAATGTTGCTCGCTTAATTGGAGCCACCGAGAAGTGTGCGTGTGGCCTGAACGGTGCTCAACCAAAGATTGACGAATGTCGCGGTTGCATCCATCAGAGACAAAAACCCGCCCTATGAGCGCTTACAAAAATGTAAAATAGAAATTCCCATAATTTTGCGAAGCGTCCTAAAAAATGATTTGATAACAAGGGGGACGTTCACTAGGAAACGTTTGACGAGGTAGTGTCAGAATTTTAGATTGTTCGCACGGTAGATTAGAGAATAAACCGAGATTTCTAGACTCTGATGATTCCGTGGAACTACTGTAATAAGCGTTACGTCTTATTACACGAAACCTCAAAGCATTAAAAATGAAAAAAAAATTATTAAACTTTGAAAGTAATTTCAAGTTAAACTTTGGTAGAAATAGTGTTAACCCATCCGCCTAGTTCCGGCAACCGAGGGTAGATGGCGCGCGCCTCGCGGCGCTCCCGCGTCGGCGTCGGAGCGTCTGGCGCGCCGTGGGACCAGTCGCGGACTTCCACCCCGATGGTGCACACGGGGTTGGGACCCTAGGCTACGACCCACGGAATTTTCGCACAACCAACGCACTTTCGTAACCTAACATTTTATTAATACGGACAGTTAGGGTAGAATGAGAAATCACGCAGGAAATGTTTCAGGTAGAGCAAAAAGGAGATGAATCTCCGGTTAAAACGGCGGCGCGGTTGGGGGGGAGTGCAAGGTACGTTTTCGCCGAGCGGCGGTGTTTATGCGTTTCTGGATCGGCAGATTTAACCGCGGCGTGGCCGTTCCGGACCGTATCGGCGTCGTCGCCGCGACGTCGCCGGGAGGTCCGATTGGCCACGGCCCTGGGACATAAAAGGCCCTGCGGGGGCACGGATCGAGCGGTGCTCTAAATCCGTCCGCTCTTAAATCTGTCATAACGCATCACCAGGATCGTCCTATTAATCGTCCTTTCGTCCGAGGCCCCTCGGTCGCGTGCGCTCGCCTACATGGTGTCGCACGCGAGAGGGACCCGCAAAACACGGCCAGCTGGCTTGTCATTTTGCGACAAAAAATCTCCCGCACGCCATCTCTCCCGGAACCCGACAATTTCGGTATCGAGCGACACTCCGGACTTCCGATTTCCTGGGCTTGAAAAAAAATAAACCTAGGGGCTATTCACAATTTCCTTTAATATCATCTGACGAACAACAATGCGATTCGGTAACTACTGACGTTCGGCCTTTAAATTATGACAGTGTTCGATGATTTTCAAAGATTTCTGCTTGCGATTTCCAGATAATTTCCGCATGATTTCAAGCGTCATCACTTGAAGTTTCATGGAATTTCAGATTTTTTTTAATTTGTCTAGGGGAACTTTTAAGAAAAGTGTCACGTTCGCATCCCTTTAACGCGGGACTGAAGCTTAAGGTGATGTGAAAGTGGCGTCAAAGTGGAATTGTTTATAAAGCTTTTCTCCCAACTCGGTTTGCCGAATAGTTTGAAACTTTACAACGTGAATAGGGAGACTATAAGGAAGGTCCTGAAACTCATGAAATTTCAATTCTTTTCAAATTTGTTTATAGGTATTTTAAAAANAATTTAATAATTTATAAATAACCACGTGGTACGACCATGACGCACTATCGACGAAAATGAATATGATGATTAAATGACATTTGTTGCCCTTTACGCCGCAGGCTAGCATGTCACGCGTAATTAAACATTTGTTAAGAATCCAGGGAAAGACTCGTGGGAATAGGGTGCAGTTTAACGTTGGTCTGCAGAACATGGGACTAGAAATGTCGGAGTCGTTCCCGAGTGAAGAGGGAGAGTTCCAATATGGCGGCCGGCGATACGCACGACGTCCACCGTGGCCGGGCAAAGTACGGGGAAAAATATTTAGGCAAATGGCCTCGACGCGGTGGTCCGCGAGATTAAGCTTAATTGGCCGTCGAGGTCGGCTCGAATTGAGATTTATGAAGTAAATTCATTGTTTCGTTGCCCCCGTGGACCACCGGGACGGTCTCTCCGACCCCGACCGAATTCGTCCCTCCGAGCGTCGTTCCGTCCCTCAGCTATCAAATAATGTCAACCACCGCGACGAACGCGCGGGTCCGGCTTCTGCCGCCCGAGCCAAAAAGAGACGACCATTCCCGTCCTTTTTCCTCCCGGACATTATGGCCTCTAACTTTCTCCCTTTATATTTAACTCGGACTCGCTCCATCGCCGCGCTCGAGGACGAACTGCGCGTCGGTCTGACGTGCCTGACGCGACGCGAAAGTTGCGTCGAGTTGGTACAATGTCGGCGGTGTTTAATTTTTTTTTTAACACTATTTCTACCAAAGGTGTCAAAAGACACCTTTTAAAATTTTAACTCGAAATTATTCTCAGTTTAATAATTTTTTTTTCTCAATTAATGTTTTGGATTTTCCTATAATAATTGTTAAATTTATTTAGCGGTATCATTTTCCTCCAGCTCGTCGAAACGTCGGTCGGACGTGCCTGACGCGACGCGAAAGTTGCGTCGAATTGGTACAATGTCGGCGGTGTTTAATTTTTTTTTTAACACTATTTCTAACAAAGGTGTCAAAAGACACCATTTAAAGTTTTAACTCGAAATTATTCTCAGTTTAATAATTTTTTTTCTCAATTAATGTTTTGAGTTTTCCTATAATAATTGTTAAATTTATTTAGCGGTATCATTTTCCTTCAGCTCATCGAAACCTTTTGGTCGAGATAGGTATATACAAAATCGTGGTAGAATATATTTCAATGTGGATACGAGATCCGATCACTTGGTATAATTAATATTTACAAGGGTTCATAGTATTAGTAAAACATCAATGACGTTGGAATTTATTAATCGAGAAAAAATTATCTGGTTTGAATGCGTCGTTTTCAAATGAAATTTCATGGTCGT